TATAACCTCCTCCCTGGGGGATGGACAACAGAGAAGTGAGCGAGGGGAGATGTCGGACAGTGTAAGATATGACAAAATAATAATTTATGAATTATGAAGGGTTCATGAGGGAGGAGGAAGGGGGAGGGAGGGGGGGAATGAGGAACTGATATTAAGTGCTCAAGTAGAAGGCAAATATTTTGAGAATGATGATGGCAACAATGTACAAATGTGCTTGACACAATGGATGTTTGTATGGATTGTGATAAGAATTGTGCGAGCCCCCAATAAAATGATTTTTTTTTAAAAGAGTAGCCATGAGAAGGGGTCCTACTTCTTTTGTCTGATGGTGTCAGTTGCATGCTAATTGCAGTAGACAACTGTAGATTACACATACATTTTTTTAATACCAGATTGGGGTCCCCAGCCATTCATCCAGCTGTTGGGTCAATCCTTTCATTGCCAGTTAATGGAAAAGTACACGAGATGAAAAGGAGAGGGGTAGAAAAATCCATTGGTAACCCAAGGTGAACGCGCATTAGGAGCTGGGAAAAAGTGTCAGATACGACAAATGGTTTTGGGATTATCTACAATTTGGGACTATTCTTTCCACTACAGACTTCAAATGTCCTGTGTATCAATGGTAACTGAGTTTATAAGGCTCACTTTGGGTAGTTACTTGGAACTTGTATGACATTCACTATCAATGCAGGCTGCAGTAACACATCAACATCTTTTTCTTTTCATCAGATAGAGAAGTTAGGGCTTTCTTTTAGCTACTATACTGACATCTGTTTGTGTGCAAGACTTCACATATCAATAGAACCTCATGAAAAGCTCTTTAATTTTGATCTTTGGCAATTTGTTATACTGTGGTAGTTGGTATGTTGCTATAATAATGTGTTTCAAATACCAGCAGGGTCACCCGAGGTGGACAAGTTTCAGTGGGGCTTCCAAATGAAGGCTGACTAGGAGGAACGGTCTAGTGACAGCTTTCCAAAAGTCAGCCAGTGAAACCCTACCTCCACATCACCGGAGAACACTGCCCACTGAAGTCCTGGGAGATGAGAGCCCTAGGTTGAATGCACTGTGGCTGCAACAATTGATTCACACATACCAATGGTTGGAAAGATGACACAGGCCCAGGCCTGTTTCATTGTACTATACAAGGTAGTTGTTGAACGTAGCTAGCAACACCATTAGTGATAATACAGGTGGAATATGTCTTGAACGTAGTTGTTGTCTTTTAAGATCATTTTATTGGGGGCTCTTACAGCTCTTATAAAGTCCATAAATCAAGCATATACATGTACACATGTTGCCACCATCATTTTCTGAACATTTGCTTTCAGTTGGAGGCCTTAGCATGAACTTAGTCTTCAACTTATCACATGAAGGGTCTGCTAAAGAAAGTAAAACTCACGGTGCTTTCTTAAATAGCAAAACCGTAAAACACGAAACAGTAAAAATCACATTGGACTTGTCTTCCCTTAAGTGACCTTAAAATGGACAATTTTGGCAGTTTTCTGCGTAAAATCTCAGTTGCAAGAGATTGGTGCGGGGAGCACACAAACAGCAGAGGCCACGGAGGAAGGTTCATTTCCAGGGCAAAAGGAGGACAACGATTATCTCTACATTCTCACTACCTGAGGCCTGTAACAGTGGGGATTCAGTGACAGAATGAATTAGCCAGTACATAGGAAGCTATTAAAGAAGCACCCGATACATCGTGGACACTCAATTAAGACCACTACGTCCCTTTAACCTTCGTTTTTCTTTCTTCTTGCTGCACAGACTTGAAGATTCTAAGAGACACCACACAGTATCGATGGAGAGTTCATCACAGGCCTCAATACTAAGGAAGCACCACTAGACGTCTCTCAATACTTCTCTTCAACCTGAGCCACTGCTACGCACAGTGTAGTCCCCCGGGGTCACAAGCACTCACACTGCCTGAGATGATAAGAACCCCAGAGAACCCTAGGCCCCACCATTCCGTGTTTTAATAAGACCTCAAAGTGCTTCGTACGCAAATAAAGTGTGAGCTGTCCTCCTTTGAGAGGATTTACCCCAACCACTTCGTCTCCTTCCTCATGGGTGATGGATTCCTGGGGCTCAGGTGGTTCTCTAGCCAGACAGCACTCTTGTCTTTCTAGCTCACAGCAGGGGTAGCAGTAACCCTGGAATCCCGTGCCCAAATAGAGAGGGTAGAGGCTCAGGGCCTGTGTGGGACTTTAACTGCTGAGGGTTGACTGCACCGTGAAGTGGGCCTCCTTTGGGCTGAGAAGCAGCTAAAGGGTGTCAGTTTGTCGATGGAGACTGAAGACTAAGATTTTATATTTGGTTCAGGCATCCAGGGGCATTAAGTAATTTTCACTCTTAAATAGAGCCATGGCTGGAAATCCTTCACTTTTGGGATACACCATTCTCTAGTCATATTCACAAAGCCCCTGGCTGGTACTCAACAGTTAGTGAGTTCCACTCTTATCCAAAAAGTTGGTAGAGTCCAGTCAGAGGGTCCTTTAAAGAAAGGCCTGACAATCTCGTCCTGAAAATTCAGCCACTGACAATTCTAAAGCTCACAGGGGGGTTGCCATGAGGCAATCACCTTGTTGCCGGGTGCCATCAAGCCATTGCCAACTCATACTGACTCACTGTACCACAGAGTGAAGCACCACCGGGTGCTGCATTGACCTCACAGCTGTTAGGCTTGAGCCCACTGCTCTAGCCACTGTGTCAATCCATCTCCTTGACAACCTTCCTCTTCTTTGCCCACCCTCTGCCAAGTAAGATGTCCTTTTCCAGGGATTGGTGTCTTCTAACAACACATACACAGTATGTGAGATGAAGTCTCACCATCCTCACTTCTAGGGAGCATTCTGGTGGTACTTTTTCTAAGGCAGATTTATTTGTTCTTGCAAGTCCATGGTCCTTTCAATCTTCTTTGCCAAGTCAAATGTTATCAGTTTTTCTTTGATTCTCCTTATTCTCATATTCATCTGAGGAGACTGAAAATATCCTGGCGTGGCTCAAGCAGCCTTAGCCTTCAGAGTGACATCCGTTTTCATCAGTCCAAAGAGGGCTTGTGCAGCAGAGTCACCCAATGCAATGAGTTGTCTGATTTCTTGAATACCGCCTCCATGAGCACTGGTTTTGGACCAGTTGATTATATTTATTCAAGAGAGAGAGATTATATCAGCGTGCACACCAGCGGGAGAGGTTTTCAGGCCATTTAAAAAATCTACATACCACCTGCTGCTGTTTTTATTTATTTATATTTTTTTCACTTCCAAAACTGTTTCTGGCTGTTTTAAGACTTCTGCATTCCTATTTAATGTTATAATCATGATAAAAATCCTGCTAAATTGTGACTGGGATCATACTGAATTCAATCTGAGAATCAATGTTACCAATAATGAGCCTTCCAGCCCTTGAATAAGATTTATATGCTCATTTAATTCTTCTCTAATTTCTCTTAGTTGA